CTCTGTCTCTGGTGAAGCCTCTCGCCGCCCCTGAGCCTCTGGCCTGTACCCCAGTTCTGTATGCACAAATAAATAAATCTTTAAAAAAAAAATTAATTTCTGAATCTACCAGATGTCTTACTCTTGGAGTGTAAGAAATTAATTGATAACTAGTGTTTCCATTAGAAGCCTAGACTGGAAGGAGTTTTACAACATATCAGCTATTAGGATGTTCAGCCATTAAAAATCAAAAAGCCACCACAGGGTAGAAATATTTCTCCTTCCCCAGAAAAGTATACTTTTATAGAGGTCTTCTGAAGCAAATTGTTTACAACCAGGACGTTCAAATGATAGGTAGGTAAAGTACTTTGGCACAAGTGAGTCTTGTGACATCTATCAAATAATGAGTAATAGCTTGTCTGAAATGGTACTTTGCAACCTCAGATGGGCCTAGCAATTTACTCTATAGCAGTGAAGTTTTCTTTGTATAAGTACCGCCTGCTAACTGATTGCGCCACTGGAGCTCCTGAAGTTTTTTTTGTAACATAAATTGTCAGACCATCTTATCCTTGCTTGAAATCTAGAGCATTCTGGGCCCTCCCTTGGGGCACAAGAGGTTAAAGTGCAACCCTACAAAGCTAGCCTCAACCCTACAATGCTAACTGTGGCCTTCAACTTGATTAGATTGCCTGCCAGGGAGGAGACCCACATGGCACAGCAGAACTCTCCAGACCTACCTGCAGCTCCCCTCAGCAGTGTTTTCAGGAGATCTGCCTGTTCTGCTCCCCACTCTGTCTTGGGGAATCCTCTGACCCTGTGCACCTTTGGCCTGTACCCCAGTTCTGTGTGCATAAATATTTTTTAAAAAATGAAATCTAGAGCTTTCTAAAAGTTACTAAGGAGTCATTACATGATTCTGAAGGGGGTTTGGGTATGCTTTGGTAGTTTTGTTGCTGTTGTCATTTGTTTTACTTATCCAAAATTCTACCACTTTCACTTAGGTGTTTTAGGTTTTTTTTTTTGGAATTCAGACATAGGTCATAATTTTGCTTTTTTTTTTTTTCTCTCAAACAAATATACGTAGACACTGCTCTGAGAAAAAAAATAAATAAGGTAGATCCTAGTTGGGGGGAAACTAACCTGTTGGTTATAGTGTTGAGGCTTGAATAAAATCTCATCCAATTATGTTTGTTTATACTAAATGAACTAGCAGCAGCAGAGATCTAGGAACATGCATACATACTCACTAAAGGTAACTCAGCATGTTTCAATCACATATAAGATACCCAAACTTGTTAATGATAGTCATGAAGAAATAAGTTTATGCCCATGGATCCCAAAAAACAAGAAGCATAGCGTATTACCCATAGGGAATCACACAAGGAAACTGAGGAAACTAAAGAAAAGGTGGGTAGGAATATTTATTGTTGTTTCCATGGAAAGAAGTGGGTGAGACAGGATAAGCAGGTTTGGGGCTAGTTAATTTGAATAATCACAGAGGTACTGCAATAGAGGGGCTGTCCCCAACTGTCTGGCTCTGATGTAGTTAGGAAAGGGAAAATATGCCCTAGAGGATAACAACTCAAAAAGGAGGGTTTTGGAATTTGGACTCTGAATTGGCTGATTTGCATATATAAAGTAAGCTTGAAGGTCATACTTCATTATCTCCAGAAACTGACAAGCCTGGGAAGAACAGACTCCCAACAATTGGCAAGGTCCCAAAATATCAGAGAATAAAATATACAGAAAAAGGGGCCTCCCTGGTGGTGCAAGGGGTTGAGGCGCAGCACCATGAAGCTGTCTGCAGCCACTGCAGCATGATTTTGATCCCAGGCTAAGGACCTCTCCTGTCTCACCAGCTGCTCCCCTCAGCAGGGTATTTCAATATGCCTGTTCTGTTTCCCAGTCTGTCTCTGGTGGATCCTCTCCTCTCCGGCCTGTGCACCCCAGTTCTTGTGTGCATGAATATTATTATTTTTTTAAAGATTTATTTGTGCATACAGAACTGGGGTACAGGCCAGAGACTCAGGGGTGGCGAAAGACTTCACCAGAGACAGAGTGGGGAGCAAAACAGGCAGATCGACGAAGTACACTGCTGAGGGGAGCAGCAGGCGGGTCAGAAGTCTGCCACACCATGTGGTCACCTCCGAAGCAGGTGGAATCGAACTCATGCGGAAGTGGTTTCAGCTTCTTAGTGCAGTGCTTTAACCCGCTGCGCCACCAGGGAGGGCCATGAATATCTTAAAAAAAAAAAAAGACATGATTAATACATTCAGATATGTAGACTTGCACTAACACAGTCATATATGTAGTGACATGTATATGCACAAAACCATAAAATCACAATTAGAAGGAACTTCATAAAATCCAACTTTCTACCGGATCCAGCATACCTATCACAGAATATAATCTTATGGACTCTTGTTTGTAAATCACATGCACTAGGATTATTAGTGTGCAGCCAAGGGGTAACTCAGGGACCTCAAAATATTAAGAGGTGCATGCTCTAAAAGGGATTCTGTCATCTATGCACAAAGGCAAAGGAAGCAGACTCTTGGTGTGAAAGATTTTTTTTTAAGATTTATTTATTTATGCATACAGAACTGGGGTACAGGCCAGAGGTTCAGGGGCGGTGAGAGGATTCACCAGAGACAGAGTGGGGAGCAGAATAGACTGACTGACAAAGTATACTGCTGAGGGGGGCAGCAGGTGGGTCAGGAGAGGTCTGCTGGGCCATGTGGGTCACCTCCAGGCCGGGGATCGAACTCCTGCTGAAGTGGCTTTAGCTTCTTAGTGCTGTGCTTTAACCTGCTGCGCCACCCGGGAGGGCCGAAAGATTTTTAATAAAATTGGTGTGCATAGGGTGACAAGAAAGGATTACGGTTAATAGGAATTTCAAAACTGCTCATTCTGTCATGGGCAAATGCCCAGCCAAACAGGCTTTGCTCATATTGGGGACAGTGGGATCCAAAAACTTGCCACAAAATTCAAATACCCTAATGGCGAGGAGTCACAAGAAAGAGGCTAGGCAGTTCCCATAGAGCTGAAAGACTCAATAATCAAGCCATACCATATAATACAACATGAAGTCATGATAACAACTACCATTCTCTCTGCCAAGGACCAAGAACAATACCAAAAACAGATATTGTTTTTGTTATAAAAAGTATATACAGGGGCCCTCCCTGATGGCGCAGCGGGTTAAAGCACAGCACTAAGTAGCTAAAGCCACTACCGCATGAGTTCGATTCCCACCTGCCCGGGGAGGAGATCCACAGGGCGAGGCAGACCTCTCCTGACCCGCCCGCTGCTCCCCTCAGCAGTGTACCTCGTTGCTTTGCCTGTTCTGCTCCCCGCTCTGTCTCTGGTAAATCCTCTCACCCTCCACATCTCTAGCCTGTACCCCAGTTCCATATGAATAAACAAATCTTTAAATATATGTATATATATATATATATATATATATATATATATATATATATATATATATATATATATAGTGTTATATACTTTTAAGATTTATTTATTTATGCATATAGAACTGGGGTACAGGCCAGAGGTGCACGGGTGGTGAGAGGATTCACCATAGAACAGGCAGATCGATGAAGTACACTGCTGAGGGAAGCAGCAGGTGAGACAAGAGGTCTGCTGAGCCATGTGGACCCCTTTGGGGCAGGGATCAACTCCACAGAAGCAGTTGAGGCTAACTTCGCAGTGCTGTGCTTTAACCCACTGTGCCACCAGGGAAGACCTATACATATTTTTTTAAAAAGGTTTATTTAGTTATGCATACAAGAGCAGCAGGTGAGACACGAGAGGCCTGCTGTGACAAGTGGGTTCACTCCCTGGCGGGAGGACTGAATTCATACTACAATGGCTGACAATAACTTAATAGCACTGAGACTTTAACCTCTGTACCACCAAAGAGGCCCAACAGAAACATTCTTTTATTCAGACAGTGAGAACCATGACAGCAAGATGAGACAGATCTTGGTTCAAAGAATTTTCCAAAAGCATTGCTTGCACGGCTAAAACAGCAGTTGCAGAAAGCAGCTCATGGGGGGCTATTTGTCTAGATACTGAAGAGTGGATGCCTATTTTTGACTCTTCTGCTGGATCCTGTTTTTCTTGATCTCTTCTGTTCTCTAGTTCCTGCTTTTCCCCTTTCTCTTATGGTTTTGCAAGTCATATTCCTCTTTTGGATGGGGATAAATTTCTAGGCAAAATGAGAAATCGTTCTTTTCCTTTTTAGGTTTTGGTGATGTTGAGGAGGCTAGTGCCACAATTTTTGGAATCTTCTCTTCATCCTCAGTGTTAGAAAATTTCGCTATGATGTGCTGTTTTAAGCTTTTGTTTTAATTTTTTTTTTAAGATTTTATTTATTTATGTATTAAGAACTAGGGTATAGACCAGAGGTGCAGGGGCAGAGAATTTACCAGAGACAGAGTGGGGAATAGAACAGGCAAATTGACTGAAATATATACTGCTGAGGGGAACAGCAGTCCAGAGAAGTCTGTTGCACCACCATGCAACAGGGTCACCTCCCTGGGAGGGGCTCGAACTGGTGCTGCAGTGCTGTGTTTTAACCCCTGTGCCGCGAGGAAGGCTCCTCAAACTTTTATTTTCCTGCTACTGTGAAGGCTACTTGTGGCATTTTAGTTTTAGTATTGGGGAATTTTCTTCTAAGTATTTCACATATTTTGAAATATGTTCCCTCCCATCAGTTCTCTTTCCTGCAACTCCACTTATTACATGTTAAGATTTCCTGGAATGCTCCTTCAAATTCCCTATGATTCCTCTCCAATTTGTCCTTTTCTTGTCCTTTAGTTCTACTTGCTGACAACTTTTTCTGATTACCTTCAATAACCTGTATTGAAAATTTAATTTGAATTATCACATTTTTTAATCCAAGGCTTGTGCAGTGTTCTCTGAAGTGTTTTTAGAATAGCATCTTGTCTGTTTCATTGAAGTAACAAAATCTCATCTGTCTTAAGGTTTAATTTTTCATGAAGCATTTTCCCTTTTCCAAATTATGTTTCTTCTAATTACTGTGTTTTTGTTTCTTATGTTGGAAACTTTCCTCAAATGTCTGCTGCTCCTTACTTATTGAAGTAAAGCAGAATACAATGTAAACAAATTTACTTCAATAAACATAATTGAGGACCTCCATGGTGGTACACTTGTGTTAAAACGCAGCACTATGAAGCTATCTATAGCCACTGTAGCACATGTTCAACCCCCCGCCTGGGACCCACATGGTGCAGCAGACCTCACCTGTCTCACCTGCTGTTCCCCTTAGCAGTATATTTCATTCTGCCTGTTGTGCTCCCCACTCTTGTCTCTGGTGAATCCTTTCACCCCTGCCCCATACCTCTGGAGTGTATCCCAGTTCTTGTGTGCATAAATAAATCTTCTAAAAAATAAACATGATTGATGTTTATATATTATTATATGATGTGTCAGTGGGTAGATGATCTGTGTAACTTGTTGGTGAGAGGGTAAAAGATTATATTAGGAGTTGCTAAATTGACTTTACTGTAATTAACAGGGTTGTATTTTCCTCAAGTATTTTTGTAGGACTTTTTTATAGGATTGTTGTAAACGTAAGTGAAAACATATGTTAGTACATGAGAACTTTTATCCCACTTGATTTCTGGAATAATTAGGGATTTTATGCCACTTATATATTTTTTTATTAGAATTTTCATTTTTTATCTTTTTACCCCTGTCTGACACAGTAATCTTTATTCTCTCTTCTATTTTGTCTGGTGAATCACTGCACAGTCACTGTAATATGACTCCACAATGAAGATTTTAGAGTAAAATCACACCAATTTGCCCTTTTCTGGGGAGAAAACTCTGAAAAGAAGTTAGCTCCCCCACTTTTTTAAACATTTTAAAAGAACAGTTTTATTAGGAAAAGGAGCGAGAGGTACCTGCATAGTCCACAGGTGGGCGAGAGAGCTGCGGCTCCTGCTTTGCAATGGGAAAATGTTTGTGTTAAAGAAACACCTTCATAGTCACAGTTGGGCAAGAGAGCTGCCAGAAGTTAGCCTTTATTTTAAGGCAAAATTTCAGAATTACATAATTAATTAATAAATCATCTAAGAATTCACCTGCATAAATTGGCTCATCAAGCACCAGTCTTTTATAATGGGAGTAAAGTATAACTGCTAATACTGTAGAATCAGGGGTTCATTAATTTTATTCTTGTAATCACTGTTTTTGGTGATAAGTAGGCATGGGAGGTAATGTAGGTTACAACTTGCGGAATTCAGTGAATAAATATGTAAATGCCGTATCTCAACCAACACACAATCTAAATTTACCTTTAGAAGTTTAAAAATATCTTTTCAAAATACAGTGAATTGGAATATGATCTGATAGACGGTTCAATCCAATAAAATGAGAACTATCTTAATTACTCAAATATACTGTTTTTCTTGAGCATCTTAAAAATTACATTTCAACAATTCTTAAATGAATCAGAATTCAAATAAATAAATGCACATTCAAATGGTTCAAAGATTGAAACAAAACCCTCTAGTTTCATGTTCTATTCTCAGTATATTTAAAAAATAGTAAACTTAAAATATTTTCATTTTTAGAGACTTAATAAATTTGTTCTTATCTCCCTAGGAGTCCTGAAGAATTTAAAGAGAAAAACCAATGTTCCTCTCCAATGAACAGGGCAGTAACTCCACTATAAAATTTCCTATTTCTTTTCATTTATAAAACACACAGATATCATTGTTCTCCAGTTTTATTGTTCTTCAATCTTCCCAACACATGAACTATAACCCATTTTGATATTTTTCAGTGCATTTCACAGCAAAATGAACAAGGGAATCATTAAAATGGTTGTGCATAAACCAATTATCTTCTTATAATTTACAATTTGTTGAAAAAATTGTTAAGCAGTTTTCATCCTATTAACCCCTTCAATAAAACACAATTCATCAGAGCACAAAGCTTAGACTTCTTATGATGATGCAACAGATGCAGCCACCTACAATGGCAGATGAATAACAGGTATATGTTACATACACTGATTGGAAGACCACATGAGAAGAAAAAGAGTAAGGCACCACTCTTGGAAAATTAAGGTAGCTTGCAGTAACAAGTGTTGAGCACCTAAGTAGGTGCTCAATAAATACTTGAATGAATGATGACAGTCGTAATTAGCACTATTCTTCTAATGCCAGTAATCCTTCAACCCCAATAAAATACTTATTTAAAAAAAGATTTGTACCTGAATACAACTTCCTGACATCTTTTTTTCCTGATATCTTATTTCATATACTCTTTCTTCAGCATTTGAATTTCCTTGAAAAGAAAATAAAACCATACCTTATATGCACTCAGTCTATATATAACTTTTGAATTACTGACAAATATGGAAAGTTGTTTTAAATTTTGAGTGAACAGAGGTAAGATAAAGCATACTTATCCAGAGGGATAGTACATAATACTGGACACCAACCTACAAGTGAAAAAAAGCTAAGGAAAAAAGTAACAGTTTATTTTTTAACATCTGCTAAATTCTTTAATGCCTCAGTTCTTGAGAAAGGCCAAAATCTCATCATATTGACATTAACATATTTTAAAAAATTGTCTCGAGTATAATATTTAATAAAACTAGGTATTGAAAAATGTTCTGAAACTTTTCAAGTCAATGTTGTTTTCAAGTATATTAAAATGCTCAGAAGAAAAAATCCTCCATGGTTATAATTCTAATCAATTTATAAATATATTTTTTAAAAGAGAGTTCCGAGAGAGGTGGAAAGTGGGTAAGTTCCTCAGACACAGGCACACAGTCTTTTGAAGTAATAGAATGCCTTGTTACTACAATCTGGTTGAATTTTTTTTTAACACTGATTTCAGGCACAATGGCTGAATCCACTTCTGGGTCATCTTCCTCCTCCTCTTGGTTTTATTTATAAGAGTAGTGTGAATACTTCAGTTACTGACAGAAAGCAAAGCACAAACTCTGAAAGACTTCACTTTTCACTATAAAGAAATAAAAATCACTGAGTTCTCACTGTTGTATATATCTGCTGCCCCCATGCAAAAATAGGGGAATTGAACTTAGCTGTAGGAACAGGAACTGGATAAAAGATTAATCATTTAATAATTTAGGTAAAAGGTTTTCAGATGATATTGCTCACATCATATAAACAGTTTGGTGAGAGGTCCATCATGCTTCTCCAACACTTTGGTCTTGCTGCAGCTCAATAGTGCCCTTCTAGGCACATCTGTGTTTACCTAGTTTCAGTCTGTGCAATCAGGAAGCAGGTCACTCAGTGCAATGACTCCATTCTGGGAGGGTTTAGGGTAAACAGAGAGGAACCTCATTTGGTCAACTCTTAGATACTGTATGTCACTCTGTTGGTTGCATTATTGGAATTGTTTTCCAAAGGGGTTTGTGATAAACCCATCCGTCTCCCTGAAACAAGTAGAAAAATAAAGAACCATTTCTATTCTGATCAAAATTAGAAGCAATTCTTCTTTGAAATTCTAGTCTCATGATTTAGAATAGGAGTTCCTGTGAAGAAAAGTCTCAACTTGCAGACATCAAAGAATGTCCGTGGCTTTCTAACCTTACATAGGATAAGCTAAGAAGTTCTAGTCTGTAATATATAGTGCTCTGTTAAACATTCTATTTTATAGAAGTCATTTGTATAAATTCCACAATGTTTGATAAGATGCTACATAAAGAGTGACAGGCAGTAGGTGACACACAAAAAATGGTCACGAAGGAATAAGCTGTAACCTCCATCTTAGTCTTGGCATCTCTAGTATCTAAGATTTCTAAGTGTTGTTCTCTAGTTCTTCCCTACTCACAAGGAAATAGGAGTCAGAGAGTGAATTAAAGATAGATGGAACCTCTATTCTGAACCTCTGTATCTTTCAATTGAACTATGTAACTACACTGGAAGAAAAAAAAACCTCCTATAATTACTTCACCCTGTTCCAAAAATAGCCTTAAGTTCAGCAATTACTTGGTTCTAAGTGACAAGGATTCTTTCCTTGCTCTAACTTTTGTCAGGCTCCTTTCTCTTCTTGTGTACTTTTAAAAAAGAATCCCAAGGAACCAGTTTCTAGAAAATTCCTAAATCCTGGGCATACAATCAAACTGTTTCTTCCCTCTCCTAACTCTTGATATCTACCAATTTCCACTTCCTCAACCTGCCTGTTGGCTATAAATTTCCTCATGTTTCTGTATTCAGAGTTGAGTACATGCTCCTCTACTGCGTCAGTCTTAAAGTCTTCTGTGCTATTTTTGTATGTGTCAGAATAATTTCTTTTACAACAAACAGAAACCACTAGATTGGTATCTTACATTACTTGACTGGTATTTCTTGACACCCATACTGTTCTTTGGAAAAGATGTCACCTAACCACATACAGAGTGTTACATTTAGAAGTTAAGACATCCCCTCTAACCATCTCATTTTGCATAAGAAGAGATAAGGCTCTGAGAAATGACATGAGTGGCCCAACTTCATCCAGAAAGAGGCACGGTATTTTTAGTGTACCGTCTGTACATTTACCTATGTTACCAGATTAAAAACAGAGGTTAGGAAAAAAAAAAAAAAAAAAAAACAGAGGTTAGGAAGTGGTAAATTATCCAAGGGGAGACTAGGGTTCAAATATATATCACATATATGACCCCAGTATGATTTACTGTATCAGAAAAGTTCTGCTTGTGTTTATATACAACATTAAGAAATCAAATATTTGCTTAAGAGGACCAATACAACCAATGAATCCTGATGGACATGTATAATAACAAAGAGGAGGAAATGGACACTCTTAATAAACTCTCCTTGAACGTAAACACAGAGTTTCAGTATGGTACAAAAGACAGTATATTGTGAATTGCATATTCTATTATTATGACTGAAGGTTGCGACAATAGTTTATGTTTATGGCCAACTTAAATTTTCAAGTCTATTTCATCTGAACTGCTGGTAAACTATTTTTAGAAATAACGATATGTAAGTAATAATCAACAAGCATTAATAAGCTAAAATTCTTACTAGGTAGGTAATGAGATTTAGTTTGAAATTATATATATGACAAACCTCTTTAATAAAATACTTGGTTTTCCATGGTGTGCCTGTTTCAGTACGGTGCCTTTCTTCAGTTCTCTGGCGTTCTTCCAGGGTACGTTTATGCTCTGTGGCCTTATCAATTTCAGATTCTCTGAGAGAATCTGTCACATTTTTCCACAATCGTCTGAAATTAGAAAATCACTCATTTTACAAATTTTAAAAACAGGTAATTAAATATCCTTAAAATTAAGAAATTTTCAAAAATTATATTTCCTAAACCAGACCTGTAACTTTATGCCAGTGAGTTACAAAAGCTGATACTATGCCACTGGTGTTAATGTTCAGAATGCTGCTACCACTACTTCCTTTTCAATTAAAAATACACTATTTTCTCAAGTTATAAATTTAAGATTTTAATAAACTTTGGAAATAATAAACAGGAAGAGTAACACACTGAAATGTAAGAGACAGAACTGTTTCTAGATTGTATTCAGAATCTACGAAGAACTACAATGTCAGACTAGAGTAGCTGTAAAAACTAACTTATTAAGCTTAAGATATGAACTTTCTGCCCTTTTACAAAAGGACCTGTGACCTAGTTTCCACTTTAAGAAACTAGAAAAAGGAATAGCAAGTAATGCACAAAGCAAGCAGGAAAATGGAAGTAAAGATATAAGGTGTTCATCAATTTTCCATATTCTGCTACATGGAAATCCAGTTCAGCAAGTCTGCATCTTAGACTTTTTTATGCCTGCATGATTTTGTAATATAATGGATTGATTTTCTAAAAATGATATTCCACATGTAGAAAAATTTTTACATAATACTTTAAAATCACATTCACTAATATCACCATCAATTTAACTGAGGAGTAGGCCAGTGGTCAGGGGGTAAGAGGATTCACCAGAGACAGAATGGGGCGCAGGATAGGTGAACCTACTGAAATACACTGCTGAAGGCAGCAGCGGGTGAGAGCCAAGTGGTCTGCTGCACATGTGGGTTAGGGTCCTTGGCCAGAGATCAAATTCATGAAGTCTGGAGCGGCTGGCGACAGCTTGATGGCTCTGAGACTATAACCCCTGTGCCACTAGGGAGAACCCCATTAACACCATCAATTTAATGAGAAAAATTCTTTGTGAAAGGTTTTCAAGCTCTTGGTGGCAACTAAGTTTTCCAAAATTCTTGCAATAGTTATAACAATCACTTACAAGAAAATTGTCTGCCTACTGTTGAAATCTGAAATCATAATTTGTTTGCCAATTATGCCTGTCTGCCTGCCATTCTATTAAGTAAAAATGGTGTTTCATGACAGAGTAACTAAGTCAGCTGACAACTCAACCAACTACACAAATGTTTCCTCCAGATAACCACTATACTTCTTCAGTGTCCAGAAAAAGTGCTTAATGCATATTACCATTTTGTCACACAGAATATTAAAGAGACAGGTACATGATTCATATTTAATACAACTAGTAATCTACTTTTAAAAGGACATTCAGGTCCCTCCCTGGTGGCGCAATGGATTAAAGTATAGCACCATGAAACTATCTGTAGCCACTGCAGCACAAGTTCAAATCCCGGCCAAGGAGCTGACAAACATGGAGTAGCAGACCTCGCTTGACCCACCCACTGCTCCCCTCAGCAGTGTATTTCAGTCAGAGCAGTGTATTTCAGTTAGTCTGCTTCTACCCCAATTCCTGTGTGCATAAATACATCTTTAAAAAAAAAAAAAAGACATTCAAAAAGAAATTGTCATTCAAAAAATGCAAGTACATAGCAGTAAAGAACATGACTACTAGTGCCACTAGTACTCAAGCCCAGCAGTTTCTGCATCACCAATGCAAGTGCAAACAGAGTAAAAAGGCAAATAAAACCTTAGCACTATTATAAAACAGCTCTGAACTTGCAGACTTCCCAAAAAGTTCTCAAGGACCCCATAGGTCTACAGACCAAACCTTAAGAATCTTTCCTTTAAGATAAATCCCTTAAAACTTTTAAGAAATTATTACTCTCTTATGCTTTTGTTTAATCTGCGGTTTTGATTAATAAATATTTAACTCCTTTATACACTTAGTTATAAAGTATTTGGTTTTATTTATGTGATCTCAAGTTGTTTAATGCTTTCTTGTATTTCCTTTTAAAACTGATACAATAGGGCCTCCCTGGTGGCGCAAGGAGTTAAGGCACAGCATTATGAAGCTATCCCCAGCCACTGCAGCATGAATTCAATTCCCTGTCAGGGAGGTGACACACATGGCATGGCAGATGTCTCCTGACCTGCCTGCTGCTCTCCTCAGCAATGTATTTCAGTGAATCTGCCTGTTCTTCTCCTTATCTGTCTCTGGTGAATTGTCTCAGCCACCACCACCGCACCTCTGGCCTGTTCTTGTATACATAAATAAATAAATCTTTTTTTAAAAAGTTGATACAGTAATACATATGGTATATACATTAAGCAGTACAAAAGGACATTCTGAGATTGTCAAACCCTTTCCCAGACCCCAGTACTTCTCTCCAGAAGCAAGATTCACTTGATTTGCTTTAACAGCCTATGACATTTAATACAAAAATATCTTCTAGCAAGGTTGGACCAGTTCATCTTCTAACCAGCAATAAGAAAATTCCTATTTGCTCATACTTTTCCCCACGAGAGGTAGTATTTTAAAAGATAATGTATCTGGCCCTCCCTGGTGGGCCAGCAGGTTAAAGCACAGCACTAAGAAGCTAAAGCCACCTCTACATGAGTTTAATCCCCATCTGCCCCGGGGTGATCCGCATGGCATAGCAGACCTCTCCTGACCCACCCGCTGCTCCCCTCAGCAGTGTACTTCATCAGTCATCCTGTTCTGCTCCACACTCTGTCTCTGGTGAATCCTCTCACCACCTCTGCAACTCTGACTTGTACCCCAGTTCTGTATGCTTAAATAAATAAATCTTAAAGAAAAAAAAAAAGATAACGTACCTTATGGTTTTAATTTGTATGTCTTTGAATTCTAATTACACTAAACAATTTTTCCATTTTGTTAATGGGCATGGGCATTTTGTCTATTTTTGAGAACCACTTCTTTATGTTCTTTTTCCATTCTTTTATTGGGGTACCTTCCCTTTTGTAAGTAATTTATAAGAGCTTTAATGATGGGAAGAATTATTATCTTTTCAACGGTAAGTATTTTTAGTTTTTTTGCCAAGTTTGTTTGATATTTAACTGAAATGTGACTATCTCTAAGAGCTAGTAAGGTTAAAGAGCATCACATCATATCAACCTTTTGAATTTACAGGTGAGAAAGCTGATGGAAACTGGTGACACACATTCAAGGTTCAAACTAGTGAAGAGGCTTAAACTAAGGTACTGAACTTCCAACACTTTCCTAGATGGATACAAAGATGACTTACCTAGATTCAAATGGATCCTGCTTCTCCAGAGGTCTTACTCTTTTCTTCGTCACTGCCAGTTTAGTCAAGTCCACATACTTTGTCTCTCCACTGGTGTAAGTAAATTCAAGAACACTATTCCACTCCCCTTGCACTTTGCATACCACAGTGTTGCTAATATTGTGCTTTACTTCACCTGTTACCCTGGAAGAAGGCAGGAAAAAAGACATGCTCTAGTAAGTGATATTGGACTAGCTTGTAGGATTCATAAAACTAAGAATGTACTTGTAAATTCTGTTTAAATTTGTTACACAGATCACTTTGAATTTGTCAGTACCAAAGTCAGACCATGAATCTCATCCTAGTTTACTAGATAATTTTTTTTAAAGATTTATTTATTTATGCATACAGAACTGGGGTACAGGCCAGAAGTACAGGGGCGGCGAGGGGATTCACCAGAGACAGAGTGGGGAGCAGAACAAAGGGGCGGCGAGGGGATTCACCAGAGACAGAGTGGGAAGCAGAACAAGCAGATCGAGGAAGTATACTGCTGAGGGAGCAGAGGACGGGCCAGGAGAGGTCTGCCGCACCATGTGGTCTCCTCCACCATGTGGTCTCCTCCGGGGCAGGCGGGAATCGAACTCATGTATGGAAGTGGCCTTAGCTTCTCAGTGCTGTACTTAACCGCTGCGCCACCAGGGAGGGCCACTAGATAATTTTTACAAATACCATCAACTTTAATCTTTAGAAAGAATGCTAGGACACAAGCACTTAATTGCCATCAATGATCATAAAGTGTGATCTTCAAAATGCTTGCTTTTACAATATTAAAGCTAATTAGAAATATGAAAAATATCAACATTCTTCTTCAACTTTTTAAAATATAGAACCCAGAAAAATAGGTAAGACATAATGAAATTTTTAAAAATTTTCTTGCCAAAATAGAAAAATTTAAAAAGTAATAGTATGCAAAAATTGCTATCAACACAATACTCACAGAATTTTTTTTTTAAGAGATTGATTTATGGCCCTCCCTGGTGGCGCAGCGGGTTGAAGCACTGCACTAAGAAGCTTAAGCCACTTCCACATGAGTTCGATCCCGCCTGCCCTGGAGGAGATCCACATGGCGCGGCAGACCTCTCCTGACCCGCCTGCTGCTCCCCTCAACAGTGTCCTTTGTCGATCTGCCTGTTCTGCTCCCCACTCTGTCCCTGGTGAATCCTCTCACCCTTTGCATCTCTGGCTTGTACCCCAGTTCTGTGTGAATGAATAAATAAATAAATCTTAAAATAAAATTAAAAAAAGAGATTGATTTATTTATACATACAGAACTGGGTGTAGGCCAGAGGGTAGAGGTGGTGAAAAGATTGACCAGTGACAAGAGTGGAGAGCAGAAAAGGCAGACCGACTGAAATACACTACTGAGGGGAGCAGTGGGTGAGATAGAGGTCTACTGCACCTGGCCAGGGATCAAACTCATGCCACAGTAGCTGCCAATAGCTTCTCATACCACAGTGGCAGTGAATGGTTTTATAGTACTGAGACTTAAACCCTTGCCACACCAGGGAAGCCCAATTTATCATATTCTTATATTGTAGTTAAAAGATGTATCCACCAATGGGGATTACAACTGAAGTGGAAAAAAGGCACAAAATGATGTAAAAATGAACTATTATATTATAAAAAAAAAAAAAAGGTGTATCCAAAAACAAGGACTGAACAGGAATATAAACACACAATTTAAAAGTAAAAAAGAAAACTTAGCATGATTTGTATTGGACTTTCACAGTTCAGATACAAGAAAATATTCCATTGCAAAGTGTTGATGTATTTTGCTGTTTACAAGCCTCAACAGCTCATAAAATGATCTCCATATTTCCAACAGATGGAATCAAAGCTGTCAACATCAACCAATTTGTTCCTACCTTTGGCTCTGGGATTTTCATTTCAATTACTATAAATTATCTCACACTGAGTAAAACAGGCTAGTACCAAAACTACCATTTTATTTTATTTTTGTCACTAAAAGTCACCTATATATAATAGCTGCTTTCAAAACTCTCCAGGGTTTTTCTAGAGGACAAAAAGGACATCATTTCTGTGAAGTTAAAAAAAATCAAATCTAAAAGTTCATATCTAAGAGAACTAGCAGTAGAACAAAGGATCACTGGGAACAGCTACAACTTGACAGGGTGTAAGAGTCTGTCTCCAGAAAGAAACTCAGACTTAATAACAGTTCCCAAGAAAAATATGCAAGAATTTATAGATTATTAGCTATATACATACAACACTGTATAGATGCAATGGAAGATCACAAACTGTACAAGTCAGGCTAAAAACTTATAGCCATGTTCAGGGAAATAAAAGAATAAAAGAGTAACTGTTTTAAGTAAATAGATATTTTTAAAAAACTAATAGATAATATGAATCCTGTTAAGGTTCCAACTACATACACATCTATTTACATGCATATGCACATACACCACATATATGCTCAGAATGAAGTTTCAGGGACTATAGTTTGCATAAAAGAATTTGTTGGTCCAGTCCCCTCTAAGATTCTTTTTAACTGTAATATTTGAATTCTGATTATTATGAGATGTGTAAGTAGAATTACATATAACAAAGTATGACCACATTAATATCTTCTGTAAGAATAAAAGGCGATTACTCTAATGATGTTAAATCGTTCTGTTTGAGTAACCTGTACTTTTTTTTTTTTAATTCTCTGCTTCAGCATTTTAAAATTTGCATTTTTAATGACCCATTCTATGTTTGGGAACCAATCAAGCTTTCTTTTCATTTATAAAGTTGTCAAGTATTAGACATCCAATGAAGAAATGAAACTGCTCTATCCAATTAAAAGTCTCATAATAATGATAGGGAGTGTATTTTGATATAACCACTTAAGAAATAATTTGATAGTATCTTATGATGTCCAACTTTCATATCCTACCACATAGTAAATTCTACTCCTTCGTATCTATATACATACAACTATACTTATTTATTCATCAAACAATGTTCAAGTGGCAGTTTGTCAAAACTGGAAACTACTCAAAGGTCAATCAAGATTAGTATGAATAAATTGTGGCGCAGCTGTGTACTGGTAAACAGTGAGGGGAATGAATTATAAGCACACATGGATGAATGTCAAAACATAATGCTGCATAAAAGAAATCAAGCTGAAAGAGCATAGTATACAATTTCATTTATACAGAGTTCAAAATAGGTAAAATTAATCTATGGTATTAGAAATTTGGACAGTAGCTGTCTTTAGTGAAAGGTGCTTAAGTTGTTGACGCAAAATAGAGAGAGAGAAAGACTGTGACAGAGCTGAAAGGGCCTCTGGACTATTAATTGGTAATGCCAGTGTCTAGATGAAAAGAATTAAAATTTTCAAAAAATGAAAAATCAACTTGTACACTTTGGTATATGGATTATTCTTTGAATAAAACTTTGGAGAAAAAGAACACTATTCCTAATTCAGAGAAAATCTAAAAAGATTTAATAAATTATCAGTATTCTCTTGAGGATCCCAGGAAAAACTTGTTTCATGTATTAAATAGTTTGGGTGATCTGGATGAGTGCGGAAGAGATCAATGAGCCACAAAGGCGATATAATAACTCAAAAATTACAACAAAATCACCAATTCAATATGGGTGCCTTAAGACACTGGTTTCACCATGTACTTTTTGATTTCTTATAATTGGACCAGAGAGACTGCATGTTCATTTGTCAGGAATTCTATTCTACCTGTGGTTATAACTAACCAGGCAAATTTTACAAAGCTGTCACTATTTTTTAAAACTAGGTCATGATTCTTGAGTGGCTTAAAAGTTTGTTTTTTTTTTTCAAACAAAAAATGAACTTGAATAAAAATCCAACCCTATTTCACATTAAAAAAAAGCAAAACAAGAATAAAAGGTTATTAATATAAGATCAAACAGATGAAAAACAGGCCATGTGAAGTGTTCTTACCGGTGTAGTTTGCCACCATAAAATGGCTTAGTATGAAATGTGATGCTGGCTGAATACCCAGTTTTTGCACAGTTGACACTGACTTTGCCACCTAGTTCCACCCAAGGAACAGTTAAAATTGACCGGGCATATGCACATGGTAAAGAAAATGTATACTCTTCTCCATGCTCCAAAAGACTGAGGATACCTAAATGAGAAAACAAGAAGTTAAGATCTTTTAAAAAATAGCTATGGAAAACATTTTTTTTTCTTGTCCAGCAAGTAAACATAATTTTAATTTTCATTTAGTTTCAGATGAAATTAACATCACTTATAATTGTATTTGACAATACTTCCTGGTAGTAACAAATCAAGATTACTTTTACTAAGACCTTATTATTCACTTGGGGTTCTTGGGACCAGTAAATATTACAATGGACATAGTATAAGAGCTCAGTAAATGCTCCTAAAAATAAGAAAAAGTGTAAGTCAGAGTTAGGGTCATACTCTATTACACCCTATTCAGGTCTGATCATTTAATTGGTGCTAGTGATAATTTTTTCAGCAGTCTGGAAAAAATTAAATGTCTAATATTATGGAGTAACAAACCTTAATTTCAGATGGTATGATAAAAGAGTTCTAAACTCTTTTTTACATATATTAAGAAAAAAAGGTAATTCTATGACAAAAACTATGGTCATCAAAATAATTTTGTTTACCAAATTCTAAAATATTCAAACTACAAGAGAAGTGGTAGTTTTTTAAAAACAAATGTTTTTATGAGGCTTGTTCCCCATTACGTGATAAATATATTTAACATTTTAAAATATTTATAAAGGGAATTACTCTATTGAAAAATTTATACAGAGTAATTAGAATGATACCAAGGGGATTTAAATAACTAACAAAGTACATTATTAACCTAAGTTCATTACCTACTTGACCTTCAAAACAAATACTAAAGAGGAAATACACTACTAGTCTGAACTCTTACAGTACTTCCTTTTTTTTCCTTAAAGATTTATTTTTATTTATTTATTTTTTATTTTTTGCTGACTATTTTTTACTACAAGAAACATTACAAAGTTTATTTTTACATCATTTTGCACATTTTTTTTTCCATCTCGATTGTAATCCCCGCGGGTTTCCCATCACCAAATCACCCCTGTGCCACCACCATAGTCCCGTGCATTTCCCTCCCTCCCCCCCATTAAAGATTTATTTTTATTTATTTATACATACAAGAATGGGGGTGCAAGCCAGAGGTGCAGGGAGTGAGAGGATTCACCAGAGACAGAGTGGCAGACTGACAAAGTACACTGCTGAGGGGAGCAGTGGGGGAGACAGGAGAGGTCTGTTGCACCATGTGGGTTAGCAACCTGGCCTGGATTGAACTCATGCTCCAGTGGCTGGCGACAGCTTGATAATGCTGAAACTTAACACTTATGCCACCAGGGAGGCCTTACAGTACTTCTTTCTAAGTGAATGTTCATTAAGCACTCTGTTCCTAATGCTCATGAATAAGAGAGAGTTATAATTATTTAATATAGTTTATTTTTAGATTAGCACATAAACTAATATTCTAAATCAATCTACATTACATAAAACCAATTATTTCTTTTATTAAAAAAAAAAAGGAATAGGCAACTACTCCTCTGCCCACCTGTGCCTATGCAGGTGCTTCTTTTCACCCACTTTCTCCGCCTGCAGGGCAGCAGCCTCCTGCCGGGACTTCTCTGCACTGACCTCCCTCAGTGGAGGCCGCTCTCCTAAGGCCACCTGCCTGCAACCATACAGGTCTCTCTCTCGGCAAACTTGTCCCTTCTGGAGCAGCTCTTCCTGCCTACCTGTGCCAAAGCAAGTGACTTTTCCTCTCCTGTCTCTTTCTAATAAACTTACTCTTTAAATATATTTTTTTAAAAAAAGAATAACTATCTTCTATGAGTGAGGTCATAGTTTTGTTTTGTTTTGTTTTGTTTTAAGATTTCTTTATTTATGCATACAAGAAATGGGGTATAGGCCAGAGGTTTGTGGGGTGAGAAGATTCACCAGAGACAAAGCAGGGAACAAAACAGGCAGATTGAATGAAATATTCTGCTGAGGGGAGTAGTGGGCAAGGCAGGAGAGGTCTGCCACACCATGTGGGTCAATTCCCTGGCCAGGGATAGAAGTCATGCTGCAGTGTCTGCTGATAGCTTGATAGTGCTGAGACTTAACCCCTTGTGCAACAAAGGAGGACCAAGGGAAGCTATAGTTCTGACCAAACTTTAGCTTATATAAGTCTGCGCAGGTCCCATCAACTCTACACTTCAGTTTTTTACCTAAAAAATAAATAAATTCAGCCTATAACTGAAGGTAGCAGCTTTTAATAATAATAAAAATATTTTTTTTTAAGATTTATTTATTCATACAGAACTAGGATACAGGCCACAGGCACAGGGGTGGTGAGAGGATTCACCAGAAATAGGATGGGGAGCAGAACAGGCAGAGTAACAAAGTACACTGCTGAGGGAAGCAGTGGGCAAAACAGGAGTGGTCTGCTGTGCCATGTGGGTCACCTCCATGGCCAGGGACCAAACTTGCACTAAGGGCGGCTGTGGCTCGCTTGCAGTGCTGCACTTTAACCCATTCCCTGGTGGCACAACTAGTTAAAGCACAACACAATGAAGCTATCACAGCCACTGCAGCATGAATTTGCTCCTCTGCCAGGGAGATCACCCACATGGTGTGGCAGACCTCTTCTGACTGGCCTGCTGCTCCTCTCAGCAGTGTATTTCAGTGGATCCGCCTGTTCTGCGCCCCACTCTGTCTCTAGTGACTCCCCACTCCCTACACCTCTGGTCTGTACCCCAGTTCTGTATCCATAAATAAATTTTTGAAAGAAAATTTCTGATTAGTCCAAAATAGTATTTGGAAATTGGTAAAGCTCCTATCAAAACAGATGTTAAAAATGGGGAAAATTAAAAGGGATACATATTACTTTCTTCACAGCTACAATAACATAATCTTAAGATGCTGGAGTCATCAATTTAATTACATTATGCTTATATTGTAAGCTTTTATGCAGAACAAATTATTCTATCCACAAGATTGTTTTTTTAACATAAAATGGTAGTTTTTTCCCCTTTCTTTCTATTTTCAATCTGCCATGATTTTTGTGAAGTTTTTTGTTGATTTTTTTATGCATCACAAAAACTCATTTTTCCAAAATTACTTTTCACTGAAAAGTAGAATTAAAGCCTGATAATGTACATTAAATGTCTCAAAAGGAAATATAAAATATGCAGACAAAGATTTATCTGGAAGGTATCTCTTGAGTGCTACATGTTTTGTCAATGAAATGGAAATATATTTAGTGTAAAAGCAGGACACAAACCTAGAGCTAGAGAATTCTATTTTTATAAAACTATGATCATACATATGCAAACAGAAAAATACTGTCTTTGAATGGAGGAAATAGAATGGTTTTTATGTTCTTGAAATTTTTCTAAACTTTTTGCTATAAAAACATTTTACATTTAGGGCCCTGCCTGGTGGTGCAGCAGGTTAAAGCACAGCACTAAGAAGCTAAAGCCACTTCAGCATGAGTTCAATCCCTGTCCCAGAGGTGATCACATGGCATATCTCTCCTAATCCTCCCTCTGCTCCCTCAGCAGTATAATTCATCAATCTGCCTGTTCTACTCCCCACTCTGTCTCCAGTAAAGCCTCTCACCACCCCGCACCTCTGGCCTATACCCCAGTTCGGGTAAATAAATAACTACATTTTTAAAAAAATTTTTTTTACATTTAATAAATAATCTTTAAAAATTTTTTTTTACATTTAAAATCAGAAAATAATCGTCCATAAACACAACTCTTTCTCCCAAAAGCACTCTAAAGAATGTCAGGAATTAGGGGAATAATTAGAAACTAGTTAATACATACTTTTTTTTTTTTTAAGAATTATTGTATTTATTTATGCATACAAGAACTGGGGTGTAGACCAGAGATGTGGGAAGGGTGAGAGGATTTACTAGAGACAGAGAGGGGAGTGCAGGTTAGCTTGCTGGCCAGGAACTAAACTCATGCCCAGTGGCTGGGATAGCTTGATAGCACTGAGATTTTAACCCCTGCACACCAGGGAGGCCCCTATTTACCATTTTAAATTATATTATCTTGTTTCCCAGAATTTAAGATTATAGCTTGTTATTACAAACTAGAGAATATTTTCCTACTTACCTTCTCCAACCATTGTCACGCCTATCGACATGCCTAAGAATTTGCTCTTAGTCCAGACATGAGCATTTACACACATCTTCCTCTCTGCACATTCTGCATAAAATCCTGAGACTGGAGGATGATGGGAAACCTGCTCAGCAACAAATCTGACTGTATAACAGTCTGATTCCACCTGGCTCAAAGTCTCCTCTGATAGAAGCGCATGATTTGTGACTGCGTGGGTAGAAGAGCTGCTAGTAACACTGGATGCTACCTCGCTTTTTGGCATCCTCCAGGAACAGTGAAATGTTTCTCCAATGATAGGATTGTAAGGTTTCTTAGCAATGGCTCCCTTGCGACCTTCATGAAATGAGGTAAGGTAGTACTCAACAAAGCGAATCATTCTGTCCTCAGCTGTAGCTCCATTAGTGATGGCTATAAATAGGCCTGGGTGAGACATAAAGTCTGCATACATTTCCAGCAAGGAACGCTTCTCTAGGATGAATGTAGGAAGCACCACCTGAAATAAAAACAACAAAAGTCAACCAAAGGGAAATTTAAATCCATATGTGTATTTGTAAATAATTGTTCTTAACTCTCTGAAAACATTTCATTCTAGATGGGTATTAAAAACAAGGTCATAAAAGATATTTGGTTTTACTGAAAACTTAACTTCGCTTAAAAGGAAAAGACGCCCTCCCTGGTGGTGGTACAGCGGGTTAAAGCACAGCACTGAGAAGCTATAGCCACTCAGCATGAGTTCGATCCTCAGTCTTGAAGGTGATCCACAAGGTGTGGCAGACCTCTCCTGACCCGCCCACTGCTCCCCTCAGTAGTATACTTTGTCAATCTGCCTGTTCTGCTCCCCACTCTGTCTCTGGTAAATCCTCTCATTGTCCCTGACCCACTGGCCTGTATCCCAGTTCTGTATGCATAAATAAATAAATCTTTTATATAAAAAAAAGGAAAAAAAAAGCCTGCTCAAGTAGATAAGATTAAATACTAACTTTAAGAGAAACAGGTAGAAGTAATTCTTAAAAATCCATTAAGTTCTATACTGAATTAAAATTTCATTAAGGAGTGGTGGTAGTAAAGGTCAAAGTGAATGTTAGACAAGCTTTCTACCCTTTCTTACTTTCAAACACATTTCAGATGACTGATCGATAGGAAAAGAGGTAAAGTTATTCCCTGAGAACAATTTAAAGAGATCACTGACTAAGCAAAAATTTAAATTTACATTTAATTTTAAGTACAAGAGAACTATTTTTAAAAAGAGAGCTTTTAATACCAAAGGCCAGGTAACTATAAGGAGAGCTAACCAATTTATTTAAAGCAGAGATACCAGGCCTCTTTGGTGGCACAAGGGGTTAAACCTCAGCACTAGAAAGCTATCTGTAGCCACTATAGCATACCAACATGGTGCAACAGACCTCTCCTGTCTCACTGGCTGCTCCCCTCAGCAGTGTATTTCAGTCTATTCGCCGTTCTATCTCTGGTGAATCTTCTCACACTCTGCACCCTTGGCCAATAGCCCAGTTCTTGTATATGCATAAAAATTAATCTTTAATTAATTAATTAATTAAGCAGAGGTACCAGAAACTGGTTTAGCTATTTGGTAATATTTTTCAACAACGTTCATATCCTTGCAGTACAGAAGTGATCATTTAAAAAAAAAAAAAAGATTATCGTTCTAGGAAGTAAATTGAATGAAAGAAAAGTAATGTAAAAATAAGAGAAAAACAACTTGCATTTTAAATTATGATTCTAGTTAGTGTAAGAGGGACCTTTCTCTTAATGAACTATCTTAAAGTCATTCAGAAAACTGGGCCCTCCCTGGTGGCATAATGGGTTAAAGCAAAACACTATAAAGCTATCCACAGGAGCTTGTTCCTCAGCCAGGGAAGTGACCCACATGGCATGGCAGACCTCTCCTGACCTACCTGCTGCTCACCTCAGCAGTGTATTTCAATCCATCTGCCTGTTCTGCTCCCAACTCTGTCTCTGGTAAAACCTCTCACCCTTCTCTCCCTCCTCCCTGTACCTCTGGCCTATACCCTATTCTTGAATGGATAAATAAATAAAATTTTTTTTAAAAAAGTCATTCAGAAAAATGATTAGGAAGGTAATACAAAAGATACTAGTGTTTCAGGGTCAGACAGGATATTAAATATACATCTTAATTTTACTTTCTAATGAAATTCTATTAAAGTATAGTAAATATAAATACTGACCAAGAGACATAAGGAAAATAAACAAAGGAGCAAAATGTTAGGACTTGTTAACTAGAAAGCTGATTTTCAACCAATAACCTATACTACAGATTACTAAGAGCGCTCAGGACAACACCAGTTACCTCTACATCTGGGAGTTTAGAAATAAATCTAAAACAAAAAATACTGACCATAAAGTGTATAAGGCAATTAACTCCCTATAGCCCATCCCCACCACATTATAGGTAACTGACCCTCTTGCACCTAAAACAAGATCTAGAGGTTTAGTCTGCAGAGAGTGAAACAAAGCAGCTTATTCACTAGTTTGGGAGTATCAGAATTCTAATAGTGGGTACCATACTGGCAAAAGGTCATGAATTAACCCTATATAAATTAAATGTTAGACACTGAGGCAGTCTGCAACCCGGTCCTCCTCCTCTGTAACTCCTATTTGCTTTACCATCAAGCAGGATAGTAGAAAAATTTTCTACAGTATTTTTTTAAACTTAGAGGAAGAGTCTTATTTTACTGATACTGTAACAGGGTGGTCCCCAAGAAAAGGGGAAGTTCCAGGTTCCCTGCTTCACCCAGAAGGAGGGTGGAGCTGAGCAGAGAAAAGAAGAGAAGAGAAGGAATCTGAGGAGCAAGGAAGCAGGATGGAGAACCAGAAGGCGACCTGAGGGAGCCACACGGAGCAAAGGGGCACTTGTGAAGAAACCGTGCTTCTATCTTGGCCCTGGACTGGTGGAAAGAGATGTGGGTGAGACCCATGGGGAGATTCACTCTGCAGTGTTTGTGTTAACTTTGATTTTTGTTCTTCCCTCCCAGACTTGTCTGGACATTTCTGACCCTTTTCTATTGGTCCCTTAAAGGTGCTTTAGTCTTGCGGCAGGCTTTTGGGCCTTGCTGTGGACCAATCTCTTTTGGGTGGATTTTTGCCCACGAGAGGATGGGTAACTTCATGTGTTTGATTTAGAAATTATATTGTCTTCTGTACTGTATACTCGTTGTATTAAAGTTCCTTTTCATTAAAGTCTTATATGTTTTGTCTTGATGCGGAGGATGGCAGAACTTATTTAGAGCAAGCAGGCTTGAGGGTTCAGTGGTGCCCCTCTCTCCCTGCCCTGTAACAATATCAGATTCCCAAAAAATCCAGATTCCTTGTCACAGAAAAGCATACCTCATCTGTATAAAATTTTAAATCATATTTTTAATCCCTGTACTTAATCATGAGCTAAGTCCAAGAAATACCAGATTATAGAGAAAGCTTCTAATTAGGAATAAAAGACCAAAGTAAGAAAACAATCTTGAGGCAAGGAGAAACCTGGGGTGGGGGTGTAGGGGAAAGAACCCTACAAATATCTTCAGAAAATTAAGCAGATATAACATGAAATAAGGATCCACTTTGAAAATTCAAGAAAATTTAAAACATTATATAAAAAATTAAAACTCAAGAGAAGGGTTAAAAGATAAAGGTGAAGTCGTCTCTCCAAAACAAGAAAGACAGCAAAAATCAGCAGAAAGTAAGGGACGCAACAGGGAAGTCCAATAGCCAGAGAGAAGGAAAAAATTAAGGCGAAAGAAACAGCAAGGAAATTATTCAAGAAAATTGCAGAGAACTGCAATATATGAGTTTTCATACTCAAAAAACCTACTAAGTACCCAGAGGAAACAGATAAAGAGAATGCTAGGCCAAGATATGTCACTGAGAAATTGCAAACTCCTGGGGACAAACAAGGCAAATAATTTCAGAGAGAAAAACAAAAGATGAAGAAATAGAATGATTTCAGTATTTTTACCATGGCCTTGTAGCAAGAAGGCACTATTCTAACAGAAAACTATTCACAAGTTAAAAATTCTACCAAATCAAACATAAGGGCAAGATAAACATTTCACATCCATATTTCACAATTTACCTCCCACAGATCTTCTCAGAAGGTAAAGGAGGATGTACTCCACTAAAGTGAGAGGCGATCAAAAAAAGAAGAAAAATACAGAAACCAGATCTGTTTCCTGGTGAAGGAATCCCAGGACAATGACAGGGCAAGCCTACAGGAAAGCTGTAGGGCAGACACAGAAGGAAGTCAGTCCAGATTAGAGTGATGTTACTCAAGGAACAGACATATTGAAGACTGTCATTCAGGCTTCAAGCTGCCATTGAACCATTTCTTTAGTACCCACCCTCCTCTTCATATACTGCTGCTAGATTTGTGGAAGACACTCCTTTACACTCCTTTCACCCACAGATGGTGTTCTGACCATCAACCTACTCCTGAGAGAGGTAAGTCAGTTTGGTTAGAAGCTAAAATTACTGAGCAGTTCATTCCTTCTGCCCACATTCTACTGAATGTCCCATATCATCCAGTGATGTGGGCCAGTTTACTCACGCTATTTGACAAGGTTCAGGTATTGGGAGGGCCCAAAGCTGGCTCCTCCCTTTGTCTTGGCCACTCCTATAACTGTTACAACTTTCTCATTCAAATGCATCTGGTGAAGTCAGAAGTGATTTTACAATTGGCTGTTTTAATAAAACCAAGGGACAGTAAAGTCAATATTGTAAAACAAGGCAGTACAAATAATATGTTGTAAAAATAACCAGAGCTTTTTTCCTGCATGGACCCAATGATTCAAATTCCATCATTCCACTATCTTCTAGATGTAAATACAAAACTAAGCTCTGGAAATAACTTTAGGAACCAGAAAGCTTAAGCCCTTGTTGTTCAGCCTTTAATGGGGAACTCTACTATCTCTCTTTTAGTGATAATTTGTGAGTGAACTTTTCTACTTTTGCCCTGGGCTTCACTTCACTCTTTTCACATATAAGATTCTTTGATGAGAATGAGGGCCATTAAATAGTAACTAGGGATAAAGGGGGTTTCCTTTTAGCTAATCTTTCACTATGGTAAATATAGAAATGTTAGTCTTAAATTTTATGAATTTATGTGCCTGTTTTAACATTAATAGATTGGTTGTTCAGCTGTAAAGAGTAATGACAGAAATGAGGATACCTTGTTTAACAATTATGATGAATATTACAATCTTGGCTACAGGTCAAAAAGACCCCAAGCTGTTCATAAGAAAAATGTAATGATTGTTATCTTTCTACTTAATGTGTATGCTAATGTAACCCCACCACTTGCTTGTAATAGATAAAGTCCCACTGAGAGACAATCATTGAGACAATCATGCACCTGTACAGTGTTTGTTTCTCCTCATTCACATTCACTGACACTGTCATTTCCTGTGGGAACCCTGACACCCCAACTGTTGGAGCTGGTCTCCAGCAATCCAGTTTACACCAAATGCTTTAATTCAGTGAGTTAAATATTTCTCAGGAATCATTCATGACTATACCTTCTGATTTCTTCAGAAAGAGTTAACTTTCTCAACAATTTATAAGAAGTGGATGCCAGAGACTGTTCAGTTTATCTTCTCCTGGAGCCCTTCCTATGAATGATAATTATAGCCCTTTCCTAGGACAGTTAAGTTTGTGCTGGCTACTCACTTTTTTTTTTACAAAATGCAGTAATAGTGTTACAGGGTACATATGTAACTGGCAAAACTGTAGACAAAAGGTGGTTACACCTAGGACAAAGTAGGGAACTACAACTGGGAAAGATTCAAGAGAAATTCTAAGTTCCCGTTCTACAACTTAATCTGAGAGGTGGGTACCAGACATCCATTTTACTATTTTTCTTTGAACTGTTCATAAATATTCTATTCAGTCTATTGCATGTATGTTTTTTGTAAATCTACTAATGGGAAAAAGGAAGTATAACAAAATTGGAAATATAATTATGGAAAGAAATCTCAAAAGTGAAAGTTATATTGTTAACATGGTGAAATTATCCTGTAATTTTCTAAAACTTTCAGTGAAATATTGCATATGCTAAATTCGTAATATAACTTAAGAAGAAACAATAGGCAAAAGTGCATTATTTAGTCAGAACACATAGGCTGGGAACATGCCTACCTTCTTTGTTGCTACAGCCCCTAGCACCTAACACAGTGTCTCAAATATGAGGGTTTCGATAAATATACCTTATACTCATATATTATTAAGATAGGCAGCAGATATGACAAAGCTTAGTCACCAGGTTCTTTAATGACATTTTAAAAATGCCATACTTTCAAATTCAATGTGAATACTCATAGTCTATAGTTGGTTAATCTTAAGATTTTATATATAAATGTAAAATATACATATCTTTTTAATTAAAGCACAACTGTGGTTTATTAATCACAAACTACATTATAAAAAGTTACTCATGCCGGCCTCCCTGATGGCACAGCGGGTTACAGCACAGCACTAAGAAGCTTAAGCCACTTCCACATGAGTTCGATTCCCGCCTGCTCCGGAGGAGATCCACATAGCAAGGCAGTCCACTCCTGACCCGCCAGCTGCTGCCCTCAGCAGTGTACTTCGTTGATCTGCCTGTTCTGTTCCCAGTTCTGTCTCTGGTGAACCCTCTCATCCTCCGCATCTCTGGCCTGTACCCCAGTTCTATATGAATAAATAAATAAATCTTAAAAAAAAAAAAAAAGTTACACATGCCAAAAGAAAGTTATACCACAGCACCTTCATCTTAAATGTTTTTATGGTACATAAAATAAACTCCAACACTGTTCTTATGTCTGACAAATCTAAATCTACTAACAAATAGCAAACACTATAATAATTACACTTCTTTTGTGATTATTCATTTTTATCAATTTTACAACTGTCATTCTCTGAACCACTAGTAGAAATTTCTAGAAAAGAAAGGAAAACCAGTTGAAATATGCAGGTTAGATAAAAGATTAATGGTTAGCTATGTTTACTGCAGCACTATTAATAATAGGTAAAACCTGTAAGCAACCCCAAAGCCCCAAAATAGATGGATCAAGAAAATATGGTATAACATACAATGAAATACTATTATACTATTCAGCAATCAAAAAAGATACACAGGGGACTGTGCTGATGGAGCATGGGTGAATTGGGGGAGGAAATTCTATGGGGCCTATACCTTGGGGAGGGGGGCATCGAAATAAACACGGTTGAAAAATGAACAATGATGTAAAAGATATAAAAATAAAAATAAATTTAATTAACAATAAAAAAGTTAAGGTTAGAAGGCTTCTTTATTAAATCCTAAAAAGTCTACTTCACAGATTACTCTTTTAATTTGATCTATTTATTTTTAACCCTTCCATAATCTATACAAAGTCTACATAAAGAAAGGTTTTTGATTTTGAAATACATCAAGTGAATGCTGAAGGCAAAATATTTTCTAATTAAATTACATTCTAGGGCCCTCCCTGGTGGCGCAGCAGGTTAAAGCACTGCACTAAGAAGCTTAAGCCACTTCCGCATGAGTTCGATCCCCATGAGTTCGATCCCCGCCTGCGCCGGAGGTGACCACATGGCGTGGCAGACCTTTCCTGGCCCGCCCGCTGCTCCCCTCAGCAGTGTACTTCGTTGATCTGCCTGTTCTGCTCCCCACTCTTGTCTCTGGTGAATCCTCTCACCCTCCGCATCTCTGGCCTGTACCCCAGTCCTGTATGAATAAATAAATCTTTAAAAAAAAATTAATTCTAAAGTGAACAAATCATTGGAATTAAACAATCTACATTTTCACTAAATTTGAGGGCATCAAAAAAACTTCAATTTGGAAAACACTTCCTAACCTGTTTTGAAATCCCATACTGATGCAAAGTGGTACTAACACCACAGTAGTAAATACATTTAATATATATGTCTCGACCTTGATTAATTTTTAAATTAATCATAGATTAACTTTAAAATATTAATCTTTAATATTTAAAAGATAAAACTTTTTAAAATATTGTCATAGATATTAGATATACTACTAATTAAGTATATGGGGAAAGAAGGGGAAAATTGGTCTAAATGAAAAACTATATATTAATATTTCTAAAACTTGAAAGTATATGTAAACCAGATGGAGTTGCTAAACTGCAAGCTTCTAGTACTATATAAATCTAGGACTGAAGGCTGAGATTCTGCATTTTTAACAAGTTCTCACATAATGGGTGATGCTATTGGTCTTGAGACCACACTCCATCCCATTCCAGTTTTATTGATGTACACTTGACAAATACATTGTAAGATATTTAATATATACACTGTGATGATTTAGTAGCTGTACACATTATGAAAGGATTCCCACCATCCAGCTAATTCAGACCACACTTTTTAAATTAGTAGCAAGGTTATAGAGAAGTCTTCAAACAATGGTCTTTGGTTAAATCTGGCCTCCAATCTTCATAAAGAGGTTTGCTAGAATACTTTCATATCCCATCCAACATACTATTCATGGCTGAATTTATAACATAAAGGCAAAATTGGGTAATCCCAATAGAGATCTTTGCCCACGCAGTGGGCAAAATATTTATTTACCTGGCCCTTTAAAGAAAATGTACTGGCTACTGTTAGAAGAAATACCATAATGTACTAACCAACATGGGAAAAAAGAGTAAAGAAAATGTGTCAATGTTTTTCATGGTTCTATTGGGATTATATCCTTTTCTTTAAACTTTTCAGTTCTGTATTCCAATAGAGACCTCTTTTTGTATAGAAATTAGAAGGCCATGGGTCTTTATTTGCCATGTAATTCCCTGCTGCACAAGAAAGCCATGATGCTGAAAATAAATGTTGACAGATCAAGAAAACAATTCACAAAAAACAAAAGCCCTGACAATGTAAGTATTACAGACAGGGACCTCCCAGGTGGCACAATGAGTTAAAGCACAGCACTATAAAGCTAGCTGCAGCCACTGCCACACAAATTTGATGCCTGGCAAGGGAGGTGACCCACATGGCACTGCAAACCTCTCCTGTTTTGCCTACTGCTTTCCTCAGCAGTGTACTTCATCAGTCTGCCTCTTCTGCTCCCTACTCTGTCTCTGGTGAATCTTCTTACTCCCTGCACCTCTGACTTATACCCCAGTTCTGTGTGCATAGATAAATAAATCTTTTTTTTTTTAAAGATTTATTTATTTATTCATATGGAACTGGGGTACAGGCCAGAAATGGGGAGGGTGAGAGGATTCACCAGAGACAGAGTGGGGAGCAGAACAGGCAGATCGACGAAGCACACTGCTGAGGGGTGCAGCAGGCGGGTCAGGAGAGGTCTGCCTCGCCACATGGATCTCCTCCGGGGCAGGCAGGAATCAAACTCATGTGGAAGTGGCTTAAGCTTCTTAGTGCTGTGCTTTAACCCGCTGCACCACCAGGGAGGGCCCAATAAATAAATCTTAAAAAAAAAAAAAAAATTACAGGTATATTCCTGATAGAACGATCTTGAAGGCCAATTTACCCTATTACTCACTCTTGTTAAATCCATGCCCAGCTTAAGCTGTGACAAGAGATGTAGGATAACACTGCGTTGCTCCTCCACAGCTCCCAGGTCATCTTCCTTGTTGTCACATGTATCTTCTACTTCATCATCCGCATTTATTTCTTCTGGTTCCTTGATACAAAACAAAGCAAAAGTCTAGAGTTATAAGTGCTTATTAATATCCATTAAGAATAAAAGTATAAGGGTCCTCCCCGGTGGCACAAAAGCTTTGAAAGCGCAGCACTATTAAGTGATCCGCAGCCACCACAGCCACTGCAGCATGAGTTCGATTACCAGACAGGGAGGAGACCCACATGGCATGACAGATCTTTCCTGACCCACCCACTGCTCACCTCAGCAGTGTAGTTCATCATTCTGCCTGTTCTACTCTCCTGTAAATTCTCTCATTCCCCCCGCACCTTTGGCCTGTACCCTAGATCTTGTATGCATAAATAAATAAATCTTAAAAAACAAACAAAAAAAGAACAGAAGTATAAATACCAGGCTTGTAAACATTTATAATGGACCTAAACAGAGCTGAGATTGGGCAAAAATTCTTCTGAAAATAAAACTTCTATTACCAGGATGTGGAACAGATTTCATTTAATAAGCCCATTATGCTTGATACTTACCAAACTGTGATTTCACTCTAAATATCACACATAAAATATATGTACTTTGGGCTCTCCCTGATGGTGCAGCGGGTTAAAGCACAGCACTGAGAATCTAAAGCCGCTTGCGCATGAGTTCGATTCCCACCTGCCCCGGAGGTGACCACATGGCGTGGCAGACCTCTCCTGACCCGCCCGCTGCTCGCTGCTCCCCTCAGCAGTGTACTTCGTCGATCTGCCTGTTCTGTTCCCCACTCTGTCTCTGGTGAAGCCTCTCGCCGCCCCTGAGCCTCTGACCTGCACCCCAGTTCTGTTATGCACAAATAAATAAATCTTTAAAAAAAAAAAATATATATATATATATATATGTACTTTGTAAAAATGAGATTTTTCCAAGAGTGGCAAATATCTCACCTGAATCTCAGGTGAGATTCAACCACCTGCTTAGAAGCATACCACTAACTGTAATTTAAGTTCAACATGTTTCAAGAATTAAATATTTGCCACTTTTTAGGCTAAGCCTATAAAATAAGACTTAAAAGTGACTGTGTCATATTGGTCTATTTCAATATTCACTCATGCTGAAGTTGTAAGGAAAAAACCTTGGTGTTGAAGAGAATTCTAGGTGAGGTATGGAAACCCTGTGACTGCCCATGCTATCTTAATGCCGCAAAAAGTTCTCTACAAAACTAACTAATCAACAGATGAAACAATCTGCTGAAAACTGAAAATGTTTTCTTTCATTTAAGTAGCATCTCACTTCCAAATAACTGACTAAAGGAAACCCAATTTCATATTTATTTCTATCTAAACAACAAACAACATCTTCAAGTTGCATTGAACCATCATTAGATGTCACTTTGTAGGCTTATGTGTACATGGAGGTACATCTCTCAGTGGTACTTCTAAGTACCTTTGTGCAATACAGTTCTACATGAGTATATTTGGTATTGTATTCCATTTTTAAGTCAGAGTATTTTGAAAAGGAAAAGATGTTGTTAATATCTCTATTTTTGATCTTCTCTTAAGTTCTACCAAGCATGAAACTCATCTTTTCTACTGTGGCTAGGCAAAGAAAATCAATCTGAATCAGGCACACTATCAAGCATTCTCAAAATGTGAAGAACAAAATATAAAACAGTGACAGACTTACAGAATAATGGGTTTTGCCTTTCTTTTTCATCTTTCCTTCAACCAAGGAAATCTGTATCAGCCCAAATTTTGATATATCGATTTATGGCCTAGTTCATTTTTTTATGTTAAGACCACAGACAACTATTGTTGCATATATCAGAATTACTTGTTCTCACAACCTTGATGAGAGAACCCAAAGGCTGTTTCTCAATTCCCCTTTTCAATACTTTCAGGAAGTATTTGCTGTTATCTATTTCATATAAGTTGTACAATGTAGTTTAAGTAAACTGAGAATTTTTACTTAGCATAAATAAAATGGTAGGAGGAGTTCATCATCCCATCTCTATACAGGGATACCAAGCATAATATAGACTAATAATGCAAATATAGCCTTAACACAATTATACAATATAAACACTGTGGTCTGAAACTCCAGCTAATTAAAATAACTGTAAATTAAATAAATAAAAAAAAAGCTGGTAAAAAAACAATTTAAAAGAATATAATTTCTATTGTTTTTTTAATAAAAAACAGTTAAATCATTAATTAGGAGGAAAAAAGAATTCTATTAATGTTTAAATATTGATTCTAAAGCTTGGTATAATGGAAGAATTTATAAGATCTCCTTTTCTTTCTGCAATGTTCTTCTTAGCTATCACCACACCTTTCTTAAAGATTATGATTTTTAAAAAAAGCACTGCCAAAATTCTAATAATCAACTTCAAAAGTAGAAAATCCCTATTACAAACCTAGGATGGTTAGCAAATACAGTAGCAAGAGCTATAGTATTTCTAAGATTTTATATCTTTTGAAGAATTCATGGCAAAGGGAAACCCTAATATTCCACAATATTCATACTAACCATATTTTTGTATTTTGTTTTTTTTCTTTTAGTTCTGACTTTGGCATAAAGGAACTGTGAACTACATTTTGCCATACTGGCTTTTATTACCTCTATTATTTGACAAGATCATCACTACACTATGGCTATAGGTTGTATTAAAACATACGTCTCGGCCCTCCCTGGTGGCGCAGCGGGTTAAAGCACAGCACTGAGAATCTGAGGCCGCTTCCTCATGAGTTCGATTCCCGCCTGCCCTGGAGGTGACCACATGGCGTGGCAGACCTCTCCTGACCCGCCCGCTGCTCCCCTCAGCAGTGTACTTCGTAGATCTGCCTGTTCTGCTCCCCACTCTGTCTCTGGTGAATCCTCTCACCCTCCGCATCTCTGGCCTGTACCCCAGTTCTGTATGAATAAATAAATAAATCTTTAAAAAAAAAAAAATACGTCTCAAATAAGGCATATGTGAAGTTTTGGAAACATTCAAGCTGTTCTAGAATGTTTCAGCTGAGTGTAATACCTTTTACAATTAAAAAAAAAATCTATGTTCATTTCTTTCTACAAATGTTGGGTGAATTTGCATGCTATTCTTATCATTTCAAAAGATTTAGAGATACAACAGTCCTCCTCCCTATTTCTATACCCCATTTTCTAGCATATGTCTCCATCCTGACTTCCAACATACTTTGTATTCTCCTTTAGAAGAATGAAAAGGTTGGGGTATACAGCCTATACACTGGTTCCTCTCCAAAGCTTTAGTGTCATTATTTCCAAGTCTTTTTTATATACATTGACTATAAACTATCTTCTCACATAAAATTCAGTGTGTTCAAAATCCATACTAAGCTTATTTTCTCAGAAGAGTCGTTTCCTAATTTTTCTAATATTGTTAAGGGCACCAAGTTAAATAACTTGGGAGTCATCTTTGATCCAACCCTGTATCTAGTCAATCACAAGTTCAATTACTTTTTCATTTGAAATGCACATTACCTACTCATTTATTTTCATTTTCTAATTCTATAACCTTCTATCCATACTTTAATTCCAAGACATATCATATACCAACCTTATTAAAGATAGCTTATCTGTTCCATGATAATGATCTTATAATCTATCACATTAAGAATAATTATTCTGTGGGCCCTCCCTGGTGGTGCAGCGGGTTAAAGCACAGCACTAAAAAGCTAAAGCCACTCTAGCATGAGTTTGATCCCCGCCCCGGAGGTGACCCACATGGTGCGGCAGACCTCTCCTGACCCGCCCGCTGCTCCCCTCTGCAGTGTACTTCATCCATCTACCTGTTCTGATCCCTGCTCTGTTTCTGGTGAATCTTCTCACCACCCCTGCGCCTCTGGCCTGTACCCCAGCTCTGTATGCATAAATAAATAAAATCTTAAAAAAAAAAAAGGAATAATTATTCTGAGCCTTCCCTGGTGGTGATCCACATGGCACAACAGACCTCTCCTGTCTCACCCACTGCTCCCCTCAGCAGTGTGCTTCATTAATCTGCCTGGTCTGCTCCCTGCTCTGTCTCTGGTGAATACTCTCACCGCCCCAGCAACTCTGACCTGACCTGTATCCCAATTCTGTAGCATAAATAATTTTTAAAAATTAATTATTATTCTGGGCCCTCCCTGGAGGCACAAAGGTTAAAAGCGCAGTACTATGAAGCTATTCTGCAGCCACTGCAGCACAAGTTCAATCCCCAGCCAGGTAGATGACCTACATGGCAACCTCTCCTGACTCACCACTGTTTCCCCTCAGCAGTGTGTTTCAGTAGATCCACCTGTTCTGCGCCCTACACTGTCTCTGGTGAATCTTCTCACCCCCAACCCCAATTCTGGCCTGTAGCCCAGTTCTTGTATGCGTGAATAAATACATCTAATTATTTTGCATGATTTTTATGCTTCTTAAGGACAAAGTTTACACTGCATTCTATGGGGCAGTATATTATGTTTTATCTATTCCACAAAAAAAGGCAATATGAACAATCATTTGAACTTGTAAAAGCCAACTATTCTGTGATTATTTTCCATTAACCAGGTACTTTGCTAACATTCACAACAATTTTATGAGTGTTATTATCCTTCTTTACTGATGAAGAAATTAAACTGCAAAACAGTCAATTAATTGGTGCATATTAGCAAATGTCAAGACCGGGGTTCAAAAGTCATCAACAAGCCTTCTATAAAATAAGCATGCGTGGGGGCCTCACTAGGGGCATAGGGGCTAAAGTCAGTGCTGTCAAGCTATCACCAGCCACTGTTGCATGAGTTTCATCCCCAGCCAAGGAGTTAAACTACATGGCATCGCAGACCTCTCCTGTCTCGCCCACTGCTCCTTTCAGCAGTGTATTTCAATAATCCACCTGTTCTGCTTCCCACTGTCTCTGGTGAATCCTCACCTACCGCACTGCTGGCCTAATCCCAAATTGTTGCATGCATGAATAAATTAAACATAAATCTTAAGAAAAAAAAATATATATGCCTCAGTGCGCTGGTCCTCCTTCTTACCACTTATATTCGAATCCTGTCTCCTTTCAAAGGCGAATTCAAATAAACTTTCTTTCCAAAGTATTACTCATTCACTCCATGCAGCCTACTGCTCAGCTGTTTCTTCTATAAATGCACACATCCAACAGCCCAAACCATCAATTAAAAAAAAAACCTGGTACATATTGTCATTTCATCATTCAAAGTGCATGCTGTCTCTTCAGTGAAAGAATTGCCTTCTATTTTTTTTTATCTCCTATAATTCCTAACACTGAACTTGTCATAAACCAGATAGCTTAATAAATATTTACTGTTTACTCCATAAATGAGCTAGTGAAAAAGTCATAGAAAGAAAGAAAAAAAAAATAGCACTCCATACTTCTCTTGTTAATTCCCCCATACCTGCCTTGGCACCATCAGGCCTTTGCTAGCTTTGGAGGTTCTTTTATCATATAAAAATAACCCTAATCTGTTCATTAATCTTGACTCAGTAATTCTACTTAAGTATACAGCTTAGAAATAATCCATAGAAAGGGGAGAAAAAAACAGCAAAGTGATCAATTGCTATTTATAATAACAAAAATATTACAAAAAAAAACCTAGAGATTCAAAGACCTACTTCAACCTTTAAATTTTTAATTATTCAGGCCAGGATAACATAGAAAAATGGTTATGAGATGTAGTGAATAAAAAGAGCATAAAATAAAACGGTATGTAATTACAGTAACCATACAAACAACGAATGTTAACGAAAAAGGCAAAAACTATTAGGATTTGTTACAGTCGTAGAACCATAAATAAGACACTCTTTAGTTTCTAAGAAATGTGAAATTAATACTTTATAAAAATATTAAATGCAGAAACTGTTGCCTAACACATAGTAGAGTAACACTTTAAACAAATGGTTTGAAAAGGGCTTACTTTTAAAAAAAAACCTTAATAGTAGACTTCTAAATTTATAAAATTAATATCTAGAAAATAATGGTAGATTAATAGGGAGAGAAATATTGTACAAATGATCTATGTTATTTTGTAGAAGAAAAACATGCAAATTTCAATTTATAAATAAAAAATAAGTAACAATTTAAAAGGGCACATAATTTAATGTGGAAAGCAAAACCTGTAAGAGTCTTACACAAAAGTTCTCACCCAAAGCCAATGTAATTTAAAGCAGAACACTGCCCAGAGTCTGCAAGAGCACTGCTCTAGTGTTGTGTTGACTTACATACCCTGAGAATCAAAAGAGAATTCACACTTTAAAGTGATTCCTAAGTTTTACACCAAAACCCTATTTTCACATTACCTTACCCTTGTTAACAGTCCAGATTCTGCAACACACTGTTCTTCTGGGACTGCCACTGGCTTAGTCTGCTCAGTTGCAAAGGACTGCTCGGCTCCATTTTTATAGTGGTTTGATAAAGGTATCTTTGGTTCTAACCACTCGATTGTCGTTCCTGATGAAGTAAGAGAAAACTTTCGCTGAAACTTGCTCATAATCTGGAAAGTTCAGCAGTTGTGGATTTTATTGAACAATTTTGTTTTGAGCCTACAAGACTAAAAGCAATTCAGCCTGTTAAAGAGACTCTGCAAGAAGGTCACCTTTATCTCATTAGCATGTGTCCCCATGATTGGATATTTTACAACACAGCAACCTGCAACTTGAAATCAGATACCCTTTAAAAGAATGAATTCTGAATAGGATGAGCTCACTTCTTAGGCCAATTTGTGAATTGTGAAAGCACATTCCCAACCTAATAGCTGATTTGCTGTCCTTTCTGTGTGAAATCTGTGCTTTTAGTGATCAAAGAGTATGCAACTAGGCATCAGAACCACAATTACAGGACACTGGGGCTGTGAAACAATAAAACTAATTTTAAGTGAGATAGAACCACTTTCTAAGTAGCAGTTTTCTAACAACCAAGATCACCCTTTGATCTAATTTAAGAATTACAAGTCCATTCTACCTTTTCCATCATTTACATAAAAAAGCTCCATACACTTTCAAAATGAAAGGCTCTTCCACTGAATAAATAATAGCTGACCTAATGAAAGACAATGATCACATTTAGAGACCTGTCATCTTCTCAGTTAATGACTCAAATGTCTCATTACTTTCAACTAGTTTAACAAAGTGGATTCATGCCTAATCAATAATGAAAAATGTTCCATTTGATTCCAGAGGCTGATCTAGGTTTCTAGAAGCTTAGTTATGGAGTGCTACACTAAGAGAAAAAGATGCTCAAACTACTACAACAGAAATCAAAAGGAATATGGAATTTACACAGTCTATAACAAAAACCCAGACTCCAGTACAGGAATAAACCACAAAGTACCTAAACCAGGCCACCAGACTTTGACATTTAGTTCAGGCTTGGCACTGTGGGGGTAGAAGGGGTATTCATATTAGGGGGATGCTCTGGAAAAGTTCATGGGGTCTATCTACTTCAAAATCACAAAGAAATGGAAATACTTGGCTCCTATCTCAAAAAATGTTTATGTTTAATGTTAATATCTACATTACTTCTAAAAATAAAATATAAACAAACATTAATTTTAAGAGCTGTTTTACAAAATACAACTGAACTAATTACAAACCTTAACAAAACTCACTCAGCAAAGTATGATATGGCCTCAGCAACCCCCAAATCAATAATTACTATTGAGTCTGTGGACAATACATATAAGTTCATATGGGATTAAGTACTGTTTTGAACTTAGATTTCATTCCTTGAGTTACCTGAAAAGGGAAGGAAGGTAATTCTGTTTTTCTGACCAGTTATATTTTCATTCTCAAATGATTAAGTTTCTACAGACCTAGTTTAGAAAACATATCAATTTATGAGAAATACTAGTTAATTAATTCCCCTCAAAACCCACAAATTTATGTTCCAAAAAAGTGATAAAGTACAACTTTCTTATTTTAAAAACTTCTGTAAAGTTTACAATATTTCCCTTTTTAATTAAAAAGTAAATTTTGTTATACTTCTTTAATCATGAAGGAATCATTTAAAAATAAGACAATTAATTTAAACTACACAAATGAAAATTCTAGCCAAGAATGTTTTAAATTATATAGCACTTAAATTAAGTATTTACTGAGCATGTAGTATGCAGCACTATGCTACTTGCTGTACTTTTTAAAAATAAGGTACGGTAAGCTGGAAAAAAATTGTTTCATTATCCTGATAAAATTATTACTGCCAACATTAGGGAGGGTGAAACCAAATCTAAGAGCTCAGGGAAACTCATCCAATGTTTAATATTGGAAAATAAGTGAGCCAAAATACATTCACACAGTCAAAGAAATATGTAAAAAGCTAATAAAAATTGTGTTTACCAAAAACATTATAAATTAGAAAATACTTCTGGCATTAAGCGTAAAGTGTAAGATCAAACATTTTCTAATAACATAAAACAAAAACTAAGAAGGAAAAAAACTGAGGGGGAGTGTACTAATATTAGTAACTAACATGGCCTATTGGCTTCTGCACTGACCTATACCTACACTTGCCATTAAGAACAGTGTATTAACTCCCAGATTCCAAACCATACTATAAGACCTACAATCATCAAAACAACGTGGTACTGGAATAAAAAGTCAGACAGGACCATAGAACAGAAATGAGAGGCCAGAAATAAATCCACTTACATGGATTTAATCTATGCAAGTTGAACAGTATACAATGAAAAAGAAAGGTCTCTTCAACAAATGGTGCTAAGCAAACTGGATAGAAACTAGACAACTCTCTTACACCATTCACAAAAGTAAACCAAAAATGGATTAACAACTTTGAAATAAGAAACAACTTAGAAACCATATAACACGTAGAGAAAAATAGTGGTAAAACACTGTAACACACTGATTTTGGGGGCCCAACACCAGTGGCAATGAAAACTGCAGAAATAAACAAATGGGACTACATCAAACTAAAAAGTTTCTGTAAGGAAAAAGAAATTACTATTGGGCCCTCCCTGATGGCGCAGTGGGTTCGAGTACAGCACTGAGAAGCTAGATGCCTCAGTGGGAGCTCTATCCCCAGCCCTGTAGTTGGGAGGTGATCCACACAGCACCTGACCTCTCCTGTCTCGCCGTTGCTCCCCTCAGCAGTGTACCTCACTAGATCTTCTTGTTCTACTCCCCACTCTGTCTCTGGGGAATTCTCTTACTGCCCCTGTAATGCTAGCCTATATCCCAGTTCTGTATGCATAAAGATTTTTTTTTTTTTTAAAGGTCTCTTTAGGCCCTCCCTGGTGGCGCAGCGGGTTAAAGCA